TCTTTTTCTTTATAAAAGGGTGCGCGGCTCGGCGATAGCCTTGCAATGCTAGCGGGCCGATCTGGCACGACAAAGGTACACTGAAGTTCTTCATCCTGTCCAAGTTCGTATTGGGCACGTTCAGATAGGTCACTAGCGTCACGCGGGTTTCTCCGCAGTGGATCGTCATCGGTAGATTCCATGTTTGTCGGATTTCCAATCACCCGAGGATGCAGCATGGCATGGACTTCTTCATCCGCTGCAAGAACGGTAGCATCAGAGTCAGCGGGTGCCCCCGCCATACCAAAGTGACCTTCGACGGGCACATGGAAGTTCTCGACAAACTCAGTATCTGCAGGTTGCCACTCTGCCAAGTCGATGCCGCTGTGGCCAGTGAACACTTCCTCGAACAGCTCCTCGGCGCAATTCTCGAGGTTCGCGCTGGCACACAAATACCTGGCAGCCATGCAATGGATAGCTGCGGCTGAGCCGTCAGCAAGGTCGGCCAAAAGTGACTCCCAGTCGACGCGCTGTATGTCGGAGTCCGTTTGAGCCAAATGCACTGACGGACCCCTGCTTCTTCCGTCGCCTTGTGGGCATTCGCGTCGGAAATGTTGTGTGCTGTGGCATATGTCGCACTCCATAGTTTTACCGTTGGCATCCTTTGGATTCCCTCGTCGTCCTATACCTTTGCCTGACGCACGCCTACGGCCCCTACCAGCACCTAGCACAATTTCTCCACACTGGGGCCCAGTGAGAGATGCTAGGAATGCTAGTATGCTTCTGCCGTGTAGTCGCCGACGCTTACCTTCGCCTTTACTTCGACCCTTGCCTTTTTCCTTTGAGCGTTCGCCGTGCCATGCGTCTTACATTTCTGACTAGTTTCTTCATACATCTCCGCCAACGACGCTTGTGCTTTTGATGGCCCAAAGATAACCACTGAGCTTGCTGCTCTTCAGTGCGGTAGGTAGGCATATCAGAGTAGTCCAGCGTGGTAGTTTCACAATCAGAAGACGCATCGGCATCGGTACCGGAGTCGAGGTCGGACTCGGCGGTTTGCCCCGCAGAACCCATTAGGGTCATAGCTTGTGCAGGGGGGGACAAATCGGGGGGCCCCCCAGGTCTGGCCCAGGGGTCGTGAGACCCCGAGGCCGTGCCGCCATTCTGGGCCAACAATGCAGTGGTCTCAGATGACGGTATATCATCGTTCCAGATGTTGTTAGCAGGTTGCCATGCATTTGCCTCTGTATGGAAGGTCTCGGCTCGGTGACCGTGACTGAAGATACCGCCGATATTGCCGGGGGTTCTCTCAGCTATGTGAGCAAATGACCTCATACGTTCGAGGAGAGCGTCAGATTGTGCTTGGTCCCTCGGCACATGGTGGTTCAGAGGCGGCAGGAGCTGCTGCGCCCGCGACGTCCCCACTCCCAGAGCTCTGAATAATAGTACTGCTAATATCTGGAAGTTGGGGATGTTGAAGCCTGCTGTTTCTGCTTCGTAACGGGCTATCTCGAACCGTGCTAACGACTGGTCGATTCGTTCTCCCGCATGGACACGAAAGTCAATGAGAGCCGTACCAGAGTTGAGCTGGCGTTCCTCTTCTAGGTTCTCGAACTTCGTACTTCAGAGGAACATAATGTAGGTGACGCCATCAGTGTGGCGACCACCGAGATTGACACCAAAATTGGTGACTGCTGGGGGAAAACTCATGGCTATAGTCCGCGCGAGCCCTCCAAGGCCGCGCTGGAGAGCAGCGGCTTGTTGGGAGGGCGTCATATTGCCTGTGGTCACGTTGATCCAGGCGTGTGCTTCGCGGACAAACTCGCGACATGGTACTTGACAGGCAGGATCCCAATGAGGGCTGGTCGTCCTAGTGTCGTCTCCGCCCCGCATATGTCCCACCGCACATCCAAGAGCGACCCAGATGAGCCCAAAGATAGTAACTCCAATCCAATGGCCTCGTAGGTCGTAATCGGGTGTAGTCGGTGGAGACTCGTATTTTGTCGTCGTAAGTCTGCGAGGGGCAGGAGGCGGCAATATATCGTACCGCATGTTTCCATGCATTACATCTTCGAAGGAATTTCCAAGTGGAATAGGTGGGTGGACTTCAGGAGTGTAATAGCGCAGGGATGTAGAATAGGAGTGAAAGGCCTCCGTTGAAGTAGAGGTGTCACTGCAAGCTTCCTTGCGGTACTGCGTATATATGTGCATTCCTTCGCGCAATGCCACTGCACCCTGATGTTCCGCCGTAACTGTAGTCCACCAGATAGTGCCGTGGATGGTGAGGAGTAGAGCTAGAGCTGACCACAATAGACCAGCTCCGCTACCAAGTTTGAAGGGGGCTGGGAGGCCCCGCCAACAGCTTCGCCTCAGGCGGAGCCAAGCTCCAGCTCGGCTGTATCGTAGTAGCGATAATCCCAACGCAAGAGGGGATGCCATGTCAAGTAAAAGGGGATGCCTTTTAGTATCGATAGCGATAGTGTGCCTCGCGGTGAGGCACAGTCAAATCTAGGCGGCCGGCCGCTTGAACCAAGACGGCCGCGGGCGCACGCTCGCTTCCGCTCCTTACGTCCCCCAGCTCGCTTTAGAGTAACGCACGCCATCGTGGCTGGCAGTATTGCCCAAGACTGTCAACGATGGCCTCCAAGCCGCTTCCCCGACGGCCCCGACAAGACTTCCCCAACATGGCCAAGCTTGGCCCCAAGACGGTCCTTTTGGCTCTCCTGGGGGTCTGGTGGGCCGTCTTGGGGGCCCATGGGGACGGCACATCAGGCCACCATATAAAAACCTAACTTGTTTGCATGATTTTCGGAACTCCGCCTTTTCGTTCTTGAGTGCGTCCAAGACGACCCAAGCGGCCACCAACACCAGCCCAAGACGGCCCCAAAAGGCCCAAAGAGCACTCCAAGACAAACCCGAGACCTCCCACTGGGGCCTCCAGACGGTCCAAAAATAGCCCCAACACGACGGCTCTGAGGCACCAAGAGGGCCCAGAGAGGCCAGCAAAAATTGCCTCCGAAGGCGCCCGACGGCCCCAGTGCCCTAAGACTGCCCACCAGGGCTGCAATGTAGCAACATAACCCCAAGACAGTCCCAAGACAGCCCCAAGAGGGCCCCTCGAGGAGCTCAGTTGGAATAATTTTCGAAATTGTCTTAGCGGCGAGGATCGGCCACCAATGTCTTGCATTGAAGGCATGTCTGCAAATAATTGCCCCTGTGTTGCTCCAATCGTTGTGGCAACGGGGAGGGAACAAGGCTGCGGAATGCACGCGTATTGCGTCAAACTTGGAATGCTAAAGCCCGTTCTGCCAACGCTTGCGCCTTTTGCTTTTGGCAGGTGATCCTGAAACCTCATGGGGTTCAAAACTCTACCATGGGCGCGCATTCAAATTTCTGGGGGCGGCGGCGACTCGCCGCAGGCGTCCCCGACTGCAAGATTTCAGCGGATCACGAACTGTGAAGCTTGTCTTCGGATCGCTTCACCATTCGGAGTTTCATCCATGCGAGGGCTTCTCGATGACTTGGCATCGCAATATTGTGCCAACGTCGCTGCCGAGCGGCCCCAGCGACACACTATGCCCTGCGAGCGGATAGCGTGTCACTCCGCTCCGCGGGGTGAGAGGCTGTGGAAAGCTTGGGACGATGACGCTTGGGAGCCAAGAAATGTTTAGCGTGTGGCGCCGAAGCGTGGTGGGCCATAACCTGCAACGGGACACGGTAAGCCAAAATTTCCAGCCGTATCATGCCGCTAAGCTAACCCGCAGTCGCAGCAAGATCACCTCTCCCGAAGAAAGGACGAGAGAACATGTAAGCGCAAGAATAGTACAATTTCCTTGGGGCGAAGACTCGAGCATGCTCTGGCAGCCCAAGATGGCTGGCAGCATCGGGCGAAGAAAAATGGGCGGCGAAACTGACACGCGGACAAGGTGGCCATAGCCAACACGGCTGGCACAGCGGCCACGGCGGCCACCACGGCCGCCGTGGCCACCGCGGCCGTCACGGCCACCACGGCCGCCTCAGCCTCGATCCCGTGTCCTCCTCCATAATACTGGTCTCGTGTTCCGTGGCTTCGGTTTCGTGATCCCCGCGGCTCCCGTGACCTCGCTCCCATGTCCTCCCCCGTGGCTTCGGTCCTGTGTCCCCCGTGGCCTCGGGCCCGTGCTTTCCCGTGGCCCCCGCTCCGTGTGCCCCGCAGCCTCGGTCCCGTGTTCCCGTGTCCTCTATGGCTTCGGCTCCGTGTCCTCCGTGGCTCCCGTGACCTCGCTTCCGTGTCCTCCGTGGCGCGTCAGTTCCGTGCCCCGTGGCCTCGGCCCCGTGCTCACCCGTGCTCCTGGCAGCCCCCTGGCAGGGGGTCAGGAAACCTTGCGGAGCTTCCTTGCAAGGACACTGAGAGGCCCGCGAAGTCCCCTGCCAGCAGCGAAGAGAACCTTGCGAAGTCTCCTTGCCAGTACCCAGAGAGCCCTGCGAAGCCCCCATTTAGAAGCGCGACGTCGATTCGACGAAGACGAACGACGACGGCCGACGGCCGACGACGACGATCGACGACGAAAATGCCCGGGGGAAGGATACTCGTAAATCTCTCGCCGCCGGGAGCGCTGCTCCCCGCCCTGGGAGAGGAGAGGACGGGCGGGGGGGCACCGTGACTATTCCGGGGCTCACCTTGCGCGGGGCAGGGGGGACAGCCCACGGGCTCCCCTCTCAGCCCGTTCGACGTCTGAGTCCATGCCGCCGCCGAGTGGGCGGCCGAGCGCGCTCCACCGCGCTCAATTCCAACAAGGTGGTGGGAACAACGCCCGCGTGCCAGCCGGATCGGATCGATCCGCTGTTCGCTCGGCGGCCGAAATGGCTCAGCCGCCGAAGGATCTCGGAAGGGAGCCTCAAGGAGCGCACTGCCCTCGAGAAATGAATCCCGTCGGGGATCCACTGACCCGGGTCGATCCAGACCTGGGTCTGCAAGATCCTGCGTCTCTTGAGCCCCAGAAAAGAATCGGCTTGAGCAAATGCCGGGCCGCGCGGCGGGCCTTGTCCATCCATCCTGCCACCTTCCACACGAGTGCCTGCTCCTTGTAGTCCCGCAGGAGTGCATGGCTGGGAACGGCGCCGCGGACGCGTCGCTCCCCCCCCACCGAGCCCCCATGAGCCCCCAAACAAGGGATGTCAGGAGGGCGAGGCGGCGGATGAGAAACCCTGTCTCCCTCCCCTACCCATCCTCCCGTGTCCAACACATTCGCATTGTCGTGGTCCTGCTGCTGCTACTCCCTCCCCGTCGTCCTCCATCTCCTCTCCCTCCTGGCCCTCCTCGTCATCCTTCTACTCCTGCTCCTCCTCTTCCTCCTTCGCGTCACTCCTGGTCCTTCTCGTCCTCCGTCTGCGCCTTCTGCTCATTCTGCTCCTGCTCCGCGTCTTCCTTCTTCGCCTCCCTCCTCAAGCAGTTCGGCCTTGGCTCGACGGAGCGTTCGCGGACCTCGAAGTGGCACGCGGACGCGGGTACGTATTCGATCGGCCTGGAGCAGCGCCGCTGCCGTCATCATGCCAAGTCAGCATGGTCAGGTCGGACGAAGGGGGGGATAGCAAAGGGTGGGTTATAGCGAATCTCGAGTGTTCGATAGCGGGGGGCAATAAACGTGTCGTGAAGACGCGTGCACGTTTCGTTCACCCTTTTGTGGCATTTCAGGCGCCGTTAGGGGCCCGTGCAGGGCCATTATCCTGCAACACTCGATCCACCCACGTGTATTGCCCCCCCCGTTGCCGTCCGGCCGAGAATCAGCGCACGCCCGGGCGCCAGGGGGGCGCCCAGGTGTGGAGGAGAGCGCGCGCCAGGCCGGCGGGGGCCGAAACCAGCGCACCCCGCAGCTCTCGAACCCCGCCCCTGTCGGGTGTTGCTAGAAGAGCCCCTGGCCCCAGGTGCCCCCAGGATTTCCATGGAGGCACCCATCACGAGGCACAGATGGCCCCAGGGGCACCAGAATTGGGCGAAAAGCTGGGGGCACCTTTGCCCCCCCCTCCTCCCGTGTGCCCGCATATGCAACATATGCATATATCTAACTATATTGGAGGTGAGGGGGTTGGGTCGCAGTGAAACGGAGAGCCTCCCCCCGCACCCCCCGGGAAATCGGTTTCGGTTTCGTGTTCGTGTCGTGCGTGCGGGCGAGGCGAAACTGCGTGGGCGGACGGGAGGAATGAAACCTTCTCTGGCTAGGGCGCCGCCAGGCCGAAAGACCGCCCCCCCGGGTTGTCCCGCGGTGGCCGGGGTTGTCCCGCGGGTGCCCCGCCGGTGCCCCGTTGGTGCCCCGCCGGTGCCCCGAAGTGGGACCCATAGTGAGACCGATAGTGAGACCGATCGTGAGATCGATCGTGAGATCGAGAGCGAGATCGAGAGCGAGATCGTTCGCGAGATCAGTAATGGCATCGATTGTGAGATCGATAGTGAGGTCACTCCGCTCTTGCAGGTGCAATGCGCTCGGGACTAAGAGCGGAGGCGGCGGAGGCCGACCTCTGCGGACGGACGTGGCCCCAGGAGCTGCGCCCAGCAGGTCGAGCCAGAAGGCGATGCGGCGGGCAGCCGGCTGGCACCTCGCGGAGGACCGCGGGCGACATGCGCGCGGGGGCGCGAGGGACCCCCCCCCCCGCGAGAGCGCCAGAGGGGCAGGCCGGGGCCGCCCGCCCGCCTCCGCCCCTCCGCACAGGGGGGGGACGGCAGCGGGCGCCGCGCACGCCGCGCGCGCGCCGCGCTGTGGTCGCGGACGGGCCAGCCCTCCCTCCGCGCCGGCGTTGGCAGGAGTTCCGCGGCCGGGGCCGGCGCCGAGGCCTGCGTCAGGAGAGCGGCTCGGGCAGGCCCGCCGCGCGGGGCGGGGAGCAGGATCCGGGACCCCCCGGTCGAGCCGTCGGGCGCTTCCCTTCCTCCTCCCCTCCCCCTTCCCCTCCTCCTCCTCCTCCTCCTCCTCCTCCTCCTCCTCCTCCTCCTCCTCCTCCTCCTCCTCCCCGATCCGTTCTCCTTTTAAAAAATCCTGCCTGTCGCAGGCCCAGATGCGTTGGTAGGGCGGGCCGGGCGTTTCGCCAGAGACCTCCTCACCATCCATAATTCTAAAGCTTGATAGTTGCACTGGCTTCACGGATGAAGGGCGGGTCGTTTTCAAAAGTTTGCTCTCGCCTTAGCGCCGCGCAATTCCGTTTCACAAAAGGTGTGCAACAGTTTCAAGGATGGAGGGCAAGTGGTTATCATATGTGTCTCTCGCCCTAGCGCCGCGGACATTCGTCTGAAATATTTGCAGCCGTTGCCCAGATTCGCGACGTCGAGATCCCAGGAATGGCATTCTACTATGTTCTAGGGTTGTCTGGACACAACAGTTACGTTGATTCGCGCAGTTGAAGTCCAAGGAACTGCCTTCTGGCACGATTCAGGACTGTGAAGACGCAACAGTCACACTGATGGCGCTGAAATCCTAGGAACAGCGTTTTGGCACGACTGAGGACTCTGAGAAGGTTGCCTTCCGAGCATTTCCCACATTGAACTCCATTATTGCAGGGCCTAATGAAGAGGGAGCTTAGAGGGGGGGTGTACAGTAGATCAACATCGTCGATACGTCTTGGGTTTGCCCTGGCCTCCTCCTCCTCCTTTCCCTCCTCCTCTTCCTCCTCCTCCCTCCCCCCTCCCTTTCATGGCACCCCTCTGAGCCCCCCCGCCCCCCGACCTCTCCCCCTCCTGCTCCGCCAGGCCGCCGCGCCCGGGGCCCCGGTGCTGGCGGGGCCGCTCTCCTGTCGCCCCTCGCCAGGTGCACCGCGGACGCCGCCCTGAGGGCCTCCACCTCCCCGCGCATGTCCCCGGCCTCCTCATCGGGGTCTGCGGGGGGGGGGGATAAACAAGCGCATGAGAAACATGGGAAGGAGGAGGCAGCGTCAGGATGACCCTCATGCTATGATCAACGGGTTAACAAGGGGAGGAGGAGGAGGAGGAGGAGGAGGAGGAGGAGGAGGAGGAGGAGGAGGCGGAGGAGGAGGAGGAGTAGGAGGAGGAGGAGGAGGAGGAGGAGGCGGGGGAGGAGCAGGAGGAGGAGGAGGAGGAGGCGGCGGAGGAGCAGGAGGAGGAGGGGGAGGGGAAGGAGGAGGAGGACGAGGAGGACGCAGGCAGAAAAGGAGCAGGAGTGCGCACAGGGGGCGGACTGCAGGGCGCACCACGGGTCAGCGAGCTCAGGTCGCCAGGGTGCGATCGCGGGCCGCAGCGTGGGCTTTCAATGGACGTAGTAGATAGAGCTTCTCGTAGCGGGGCGAGGGAGCCCGAATCTCCAGGTACATGTAGTCGAGCAGGACGATACGCGGCAGGATCCTGCCGATCGCGCAGGTCCTAGCGCAACCTTGGGTCATCTGCAGGGAAGGCCTTCGAGAGCGACGCCCAGTGCCACGCGTGGCGACACACGAGGCAATACTGCACGGAGGCCTCTCCCGAATCGCAGCCCCAGCGACAGCGGGCCCGTTCAGGATGGGATGTGTGCCAGCCGCCGCACAGGGTGCGCAGCCAGATCCACCGCCAGGCTGGAGCCACTTGCGCGAGCTCTGTACGAATGCGGCGCCAGCGGGACTTCAGGATGTGAGGCGGGGACGTCCCGCCGAACCAGCCGAGGAGCCTTCGCGGATGGTGAACTCGATCTGTTCGGTGTACCAGAACTCGCGGAATAGCTTGGACAGGATTCGCTGGTTGTAAGGGCGATTGCCCTCCTCTTCGTGCTCACGAGCGGTACGATGGACCACGGCAACTGCTTGGCGAAGACGGCGATTCATGGGCAGGCAGAAGAGCCCAGCGTATGCAGTGGGCAGGCAGAGGAGGAGGAGGAGGCGGAGGAGGAGGAGGACGAGGAGGAGGAGGAGGAGGACGAGGAGGAGGAGGAGGAGGAGGAGGAAGAGGAAGATCACGATGATCAGGAGAAGGCAACGGATGCGGAAGTGCCTGTAGTCCGCGGCGGAAGGCTGCGCCAGCGGGGGCGAGGGAAGTGGAGACCGAAGGAGGAAGACGGGGTGGGGGGAATAAGGATGAGGAGCTGCAGAAGGAGAGGGAAGCATGGGGGAGAGGGCTGAGGAGAGTAGGGGCGAGGCGGGCTGCAGAAGATGGGGGAGGGTGGAAAGAGGGGAGGAGGCCAGGCGAGAGGTTGCCAGGAGGCGGGCGGGGCAGTCGAGTCCAAAGAGTCTGGGGCTAGGGGCTGGAGCGTGGCAGAAGGGAGGGGGGCGAGAGGTGGGGTGTTGGTGGACGAAGAGGGGGTGGGACAGCAAAATGGAGAGTTGGTCAATCCACCACGTACCAGATTGCTTTTCGGGCGCTTCACGGCGCTGGGGACGACAACGCATCGAAGGAAGAGCCTGGCGGCAGATCCGAATTCGGCTGCACGCATCAACGTGCCCCCTGCCGTCCGCGTTCCTCTGGCGGGGACTCCATTGACGGGCACTTCGGCCAACGCCCCAGGGCACGCAACTCTTGAGTGCCCCGAGAAATGCGCTCCATTGGCAACCTTCGGCGGGGAGATCCAACGTAGCCGTTCGCGAGTACCGATAAGGGTGCCGCTGATTTGTCACTCCCCGACAAGAGCCGAAGCGCGGCGGAAGGAATGGGGGGGACAGGGGAAGGAGAGAGGAGACATCGCTCGGGGGTTGCTAAAAGTGCCCCAGGCCCAAAATGCCCCCAGCCTTTCATTCACTTGTGGAGCACCTGGGGCCGTCTGGGGCCTCGTGAGGGGTACTCTGAAAGCAGCTTGGGGCTCCTTGGGAATCCTGGAATCACCTTGGGCCACGGGGGCACTTTTCGCAACGCCCGGATTGTGGGGAGGTCGTGCGGGCCTCCCCTGACGGCCTGGCCCGAAATGCTCCTCCCCCGGCCCCCTTTCACCCCCCCAGAAGGAAATGTCCGCCCGCCTGATGGCGCATCACGAGCGAAGGGGAAAGGTATAACTCAGGAGGGGGAGGAGGAGGAGGAAGAAGGAGGAGGGAGGATGAGGAGGAGAAGGACAAGGACATCCGCATAAAAGGGGGCGCAACGTCGGCGCACCGATTCAGGTGACCTACGCGCTTCTGTCGAAATCCCCTGCGATCTGTTGTGCTACGGCCCTGCTTTCTCACTGGGGCCGGCAGGGGGCATACCACGTAGCTCAAGGACCGAGCTCCGAGGTGGCCCCGTAAGGGAGGCTCGCTCCCTCACATCACGAGTCCCTGCGGGTCAGTGCGGGGGGAGCGGCTGCCGGCCCTTCCGCTTGCCCTAAGGGAAGGGACGCGCGGGCTTGCAGAGCGCCCAAGCCAGGGGGGGGGGAGGAGACGACGACGACACGAACTCAAATGGAGGCGAGGGGGGAGGGACGGAAGGTCCGAAACCCCAAACTGTTGCTGGGGGGGCTGCTTATTCTACTTTTTTCCCAATCAGTCCTTGCACTGCAGGGGTCCTCGAGGATGTTGAAGGATTTGGCGAAAATGCCCCGCCGATTTTGGTCGCACGTTGGGTTCCCGGGTTCCTGGTTCCGGGTTCCCGGATTTCCGGTTCCGGGTTTCGGGCCGAATTCGGAGCGCGAGGTTCCCGGGTTCCCGGGTTCCTGGCCGATCTTCTTATCGATCGGTCTGACCATCGATCTCATTACTCACTTCTCTATCGATCTCACCATCGATCGCACAATCGACCCCGCAATCGATCTCTCAATCGATCTCACTAGAGATCACGTTAGCGATCTCGCGATCGATCTCACTACCGATCTCATTGAATCGATTTCACTCTCGGTCTCACGATCGACTTGACAATCGTCCTCGCTATCGTTTCTACGATCGATCTCACAATCGATGTCCATATCCATAGTACTAATTTTCAGTTCATCCACTGATTGGGTTTACTCAAGTGTAATAACTCCGTGCCCCCCTCTCCCGCTCGGCTCACTTCTCGGTCGTTCCGAAAGATGTCCCATGTATTGTCGCATCAGTAATGTGGTTCCCAGCTGACATAACCCAGCGTTCCCCTCGAAGTGCGTGCGAGGTGGAGCGTACTGGTAGTCACGGTATATGGTAGGGCCAAGGAGGAGCACACTGGTGGGCTTCCTGATGACCATTCTTTATTCGTCGACACCCTGCAATCGTGTACCTGTCGATACTCCAAAACATACTTCCAATTGCGATGGCGGTGCGAGCGCTCTGTGGTGCCCATTCTGTCTGTCATGAGTTGCACTCCGAAAAACCTCGCTAGTATTCCTCCTGACTGCCTGTGGGCACGGCCAGCTCGCGGCTCGCCTCGAGTAGCACTCCGAAAAACCTCGGCAATGCTTCCTCTTGGCATGCCAGCAGGCTCCAGTGGGTGCGCTCACTGGTGGCCGCTGGAAGAGCTGGCCGTAGTCGTCTCCTCCGACTTGGGGTAGCCGAACTTTGCCGCGAAGATCCCAGTGCCATCCAACATGGTCTGGGTGCTGTCTCGTAGCTTCTGGCGATCCTTCAGCCTCGTTACTTCTTCTGGGTCCATGTTGTCCTCGTTGTTCAGCTCCTTTCTGGCGGCCTCAAATACTTTGTGGAGGTTCTCTTCGTCGTTCTTCGCTATATTCAGCGCCAGCTTGCACCAGCTCTGCACAGTGAAGGCCTTCCTCCCTGATCTTTCCCATTGGTCGACTGGGCACCTTGCGACGAGGTCGCAGCCTTCGATCTTGCGCGGAATCAGCTCGAATAACTCCTCTGGGCCCATCTTCTGGGCCGCGTCGAAGAACTGGTAGTGGCACTCCTTGATGGCGTCGTCAAATTGCTGCGGTCGCCTTTCCGCAACGAACGTTTCCCATTGGTTGCGCACCTTGAACTCCACCATCGACGGCCCACTCTTGAACGGGATGAACTTGCACCCGCACCCGATCTGTGGCCATCATTCGCAATCGTCCCCGAACGTTTCCTTCATCATGTCCACCCACTCCTCAAAAAACACTTCCTCTGGGTGACTCGGACGAGAAAGAGGGAGGAGGATGGAGAAAGAGGAAGGAGAAGGGACAATGTGGGATGGAGATGAGGATCGATCGAAGGAGGGGGAGGGGATGAGCATGAGGAGCCAGCGTCCCTGGTGGAAGAGGAAGATGTCGGGCTGGCAAGGGAACTGGGGCTGAAGAGAACGAGCGGGGATGCCTATAGGGGGCCTTCGTCTACCTCCCCCCCCTCCCCCTCCTCCTCCTCCTCCTCCTCCTCACTCGTGCTCCCCCTGGCTCATGACTGCTCCCCCCTGTGTGAGGCCTGATGGGCACTCTGCCTCGACAACCAGGCGATGCCCGATGTGTCGCTGAAAGGGCCTCTTGCGCAGCCTGCTTTAGGAGTTCGCCACAACGATAAGAAACGCACTAAAAGAGACACATGCCACGATGAACTCCTCTGTTGTTGTGCGTGCGGCATGCATCGGGCTCGAACCGAGGAGAAGCATCCCCCGACCTCCGGAAGGACATCCGCGGACGTCGCCCTCAACAGGAGGCAAGCGGGCAGCGGAGGCAGCCAGCATGGCTGGAACCTGCGACGGCGGCTATGCAAGAGGGAGAAGGAGAGATTTGGAGAAATATCATAATTAGCCCCAGGAGGTAGAGCGGGTGAGGGACGGATGCGGGCCGTGGTCATGAAATCGTAGGGCGGTTCCAACCCTTTCGTCCTCCTCTCCCCTCAATATCCTTAATTTGTTCGTTCTCTCCTCTTCCCCCTTCTGCACATCCTCTTCTGTCTCATCCGAAATCGTCTTCTCCTCCTCCCACTCCTATATTATCCTACACCTGCTCATCCCTCCCTCTCCCTTCACCGACCTCCTCCTCCTCCTCCCCCTCTTTCTCCTCCTCCCCCTCTTCTCCTCCTCCTCCTCCTCCTCCTCCTCCTCCTTCACCTCCCCCTCCTCTTCCTCGTCCTGCTCCCCCCCCCTTCCCTTCCACCTTCCCCTCCCTCCCACTTCCCCCTGGGCACCGCGGTGGGAGCGGAGCCCACCGCTCGCCCGCCGCTGCGGAGCCATCCGACGGATCGATGATGTCCAGTCCGCTGGCCCAAACAGAGGTTTCGACGCTGTCGGATAGCACGGACGGGGGATGCGAATCCACTGCACGCACCCGGTCTTCCCAGCGCCTCCCGGCATGGGAGGAGGCCACGAGTCGAGGAGAGGGCCGGGCGGCGGGGCCGAGACCTGGCGCGTGTAGAACATGTCGCCCCCCACACCTTTCCCATTCCCCCCCCCGACGTTGCATGGGCATCTTTTCGCCCCGGGTTCCATTCTTATGAATGGTCCCAGGGTCCGGAGCCGAAGGAGAACGCCAAGAATCTAAACCATCTAACTTCGCGCCTCGCGCCTCGCGATGCGCGATTATCTTCGCGCCCTCGCGCCACTTCCGTGGAGAAGGGCAGCTGCTCTGGCTCAGACCCGCGCGAAGTGCGATTGTCTTCGCGCCCCCGAAAACAATTTCTCGCCCCAGGTCCAATTTTGAAAGGTCCTGGGGCCCGAAGACTCGGGCGTTGCCAGAGGCCCAAAGTGACCCAGCTTTCCCAGGGAGGCCTAGATGACCTCCTAGAGCGCTCCTCACGAGGCCAAGAGCCCCAGGGGCTCCGAACTGGCGCGAAAAGCTGGGGGCACCCTGGGTCAAGATCACCCTGAGATCCGACGACGCGAAAAAATGCAACACCGTCAAAAATCACAACTGGAACCCTGGGCCCCATCTTTCTGAGGCATTTTTCGAGCCAGATCGATCTGTGAGGGCCCCAGGCCCGAAATCATGCGCCAAGATCTCAGAGTCTCAAGACCTCGCAACCTCCTAACAAAACGGTCTCGGAGGCCGAAGCCGCGAAGAAGTTCCAGACTTCAGGGAAAGCGGCTCCGCCGAGAGCATTTTTTATTCGCGATGACACGGGCGTCATTGGGGGGGGGGCGACCGGGTGGGTGGGAAGCAGAACTTAACGCCTCCTTTCCGCCATCCGAGTCCGGCACCACAAACTGCGGTGCCAGAGGCACTGCGGCACTGCCGGGGACGCACTGCGAGGGGGGGAGCGTGGGGGGGGCATCCACAGCGCGCGGGGCCCGCGGCACGGCGACAACTATGCGTGGCGCCGCCATGGCGGACAAGGTGCCCGCAACCAAGAGCCAGCACCCCGTCCACGCCCTCGCCACCACCAAGATGGGACCCCTGAAGGTCTAGACCCATAGGGTACTGGTCGGTCGGAAGAGGTGGGTAGAAACATGAAGTAGGAAGGCGTTGGACGTAGATTGGGCTTCCGCCGGCCCGCTGAAGTGGGGGGAAGAGGTAAAACCGCTCGACCCTCGAAGCAGACAGGCGCCTAAAGCAGACTGGGACCCAGGAGTCCAAATATACATCCTTCTAACGACCGACGTGAAAACAAAAACACAGGAGAGGAGGAGAGGGAGGCCGCGACGGCTAAAACAAGAATTATTGACAACATTTGTGCTTCGGACCTTGCTCACCGAAGGGGGGGGGATAACGCGCGTGATGGCCCAGAGGGGGACAACAGCACTCTCGCCCCACCACTCTCACGGCAGGGCGCCCGCCGCTGCCTGGACGGGGCGCGGAGGCGGGCGATGACCCCCGAGATGCGGCCCCCCGCCCTCTGCGGTCCTGCGCGAGCGCGCGCGCCCTGCCCGCGGCCTCCAGGGCCTCCTCGTGCTCCTGCGGAGAGCTGCCCGCGGGCTCCAAGGTCGCCGCAGGGCTCACGCCGCCGCCGCCAATCGCCGCCCCCAGTCGTCGTCGTCGTCGTCGTCGTCGCCGCCGCCGTCGCCGCTGCCGCCGCCGCCGCCGCCGCCGTCGTCGTCGTCGTCGTTGTCGTCGTCCATCGGCAACCTTCGGCGGTCTGACCGAGGGAAGAAAGAGACATCGATACCGCTGCTCCCCGGGGCGCGTTCTGGCCAGGACCTCGAGGCGAATCCAGCCGCGGTGACGAGAGATGCGTGACAGTATCGATATCTTTCCCCCTCCAACAGATAGCGACCTTCGGCGGTCTTCTGGCGGTCTTCGGCCGTTTCTGATGGCCTTCTTTGCACAATCTGGACGGCTGCGCTGATCAAGGGGCTAATGGTCAGACCCCAGACAAAAGAGAAGCAACTCGCGCTCAACGCAGGCGGGGTGGACCCAACGAACCGCCTCCTGGGGACGGAACTTGTACCCAGACTTCGAACGGCTTGATTTTTCAGCCCCGGGTCATTTCCTCAGTTACGGCATCCGGGGATTGCACAAATCAGTTCATCGGATGTCTAGGCCCGCCTCAAAAACCAATGCCCCAGGATCCCAGGAGGCAATGGATTTGGGTATCTGTGGGCCCCAGGGGAGCCTGGAGACGTCCACATCCACCGCGCTCTGGCGGCTTGTTTGTTCCAAACTCAGCTCTCGTGAACGACTTAGGTACCAAGCTTCACTGGTCGAAACAACGCCCTTACACCTCCGCCAAGGTCCTGTAAGATCTGTTACCCGGAGCGGTGGATGTATCGAAGTCCTGGCCTCGGACCACGGCACAGCCCACACCCCGAGGACGACCCTCAGACCCTTGGCAGCCCCCTGGGAAGCACCCCGCCACCCCCCAGGAGGATGAGGGCTGGGGGGGAGAAGGAACTTATACGTGCTATGGCCCTCTATTGCAATGGTGGGCGGTCTCGAGAGTGAAGGATGGGTGAAGGGATTGAGGGGGGTGGAGGGAGAAGGGATGGAGAGAGGAGGGAGCAGGGAGCATGTAGCAGGAACGATGGGAGGGGGGATCAAGAGATGAAAGATGGAGGAACGACAGAGGGAAAGCAGACGGCTCTAGGGAGGACGTTGGAGGGATACGTGAAGGGGTGATAGGGTTGGGAGATGAGACAGGAAGGGGGGAGGATGGATGCGTTGAGGGATTCTGGGAGGAAGCGAGGAAGCGAGGAAGGAGTCAGGGGGAATGGATGGGTGGAGGGGTTGAGGGATGGACAAGGGGAGGGAGCAGGTAGGATGGAAATAAACATGGCGGGGGGAAGGATAAAAAAGAAAAGGGATGCGAAGGAGGAGGTATTAAGAACGGATTGTTGGATGCAGGAGGGGGTGTGGAGGGACGGGGCGATAGGAAAAGCTGTAGTGTTTGTGGATCCTTTTGCGCCCTGCTTCATATCAGCACTAGTGTTTACTGGCGATGTTGTACCCACAGGTGCCTGGGTGCTCACAGTCACAGGGGTGCTCACGTGCTGGTGAGTTAAGTTAGTACTGTGGATATTGATCAGACGGTGCAGCCACTTCCAAGTAACAGCTTCAATAATAGAAACCCTCATTGACACCACTGTGTGTCGTTCACGCAGGACGGCTTTGTTTTCGTCTAGATTCCGCGGTCGTCCGATGCATCGTTCTTACGATCACTGCCATGATACAGTTGGCCATTGTTTGACCTTATCGCAAACTCCTCCTCAACTCCTGCCGACAAACTCCATTACCAGGAAACTTGCGTCACCTGACGTGATGCGAATTTCCTTGACGTGATTCACGGCCATGTCGACAGAATCATCTCGCGCACCCAGGAAAGCACTTAATGCAAACATCACCGCACCTGATGCACCTGCTGCACTCGATCCTCGAGTCCGCCGAAGTGTATCAGAGTCGCGCGTCCCCGGGGAGAGCAAGACCTGTGATCCCGACGTGCGGCTGACCAACGAATGCTCCGCCCCAGTGGCTAGCAAGCGCACGCTCCCAACGCCGCCTTGATCGTTGCACTCGAGCTCATCCCTGGAAGCCCCCATACACCCTGAGAGAGCGGGAGAGAGAGGCGAGCTCCGCCATCCGACACCGCAGCTCGGCGATGAGCAGCCAGCTGGAGGCCCTGTGCCGCGGGACCCTGTGGTCCTGCATCAGCTCCACGGCCTCCTCTGCGGTCTGCAGAGCTTCCTTCAGCTTGCCCATTTCAGCCTCGAGCTGCGGATCTCTTTCTTTCTCTGTCTCTCTCTCTCTCTCTCTCTCTCTCTTTTTTTTTTCTCTCTCTCTCTCTCTCTTTCTCTCGCTTGATTTCTCTCTCTGTATGTGTATATATACCTATACGACCACCCTGCGGGTGATAAGGAGGTTGGGGGGGGAGGGGCCCAGCAAGGGGCAACAGTGGTGAATGTTGTTGTGACAATGCCAGTGAAGATAGTTGCGTTGCCGCTCGCTCTTGGGAGCGTTGGTGTCGAGTTGTTTACGTCACCCTTCGCTCTTTGGCGCCTTGGTACCATTCGGTCCCCCCCCGGGAACCTGCCCAACTTGCGCAACGGCAGCTAACGGCGCCATTTGGCCACAGAAGACTGAAGCGCTGGCCATTTGGCCACAGAAGCCATTTGGCCACAGACGACGACGACGACGACGACGACGACGACGACGACGACGACGACGACGACTTCGATAGGAAAACGGCGCCGGAGCTCCAGGCAATTTTCACTCGGCACTCCGTCCCAGCAACGGCCAACGACCGACGACGACGACGACGACGACGACGACGACACGGAAACGGCCCCGGAGCTCCACGCGATTTGCACTCGGCTCCCCGGCCGATATCACAATCGATCTCGCAATCGACATCATCATCATCATCATCATCATCATCATCATCATCATCATCATCATCATCATCATCAACATCGTCATCATTATCATCATCATCATCATCATTATCATCACCATCATCACCATCATCATCATCATCATCATCATCATCATCATCATCATCATCATCATCATCATCATCGCCATCATCAACATCATCATCATCATCATCATCACCATCATCATCATCATCATCATCATCACCATCATCATCAAAATCATCATCATAATCATCATCAACTTCATCATCGGGACACCGACGGGGCACGGACGGGACACCGGCGGGACACCGGCGGGACACCGCGCCGCCCCGGCCGCCCGGAAGGGAATCATTTCGTCCGGCCGCGCCTCAGCCACACGGGACACCAGCGGGACACCGGCGGGACACCGCGCCGCCCCGGCCGCCCGGAAGGGAATCATTTCGTCCGGCCGCGCCTCAGCCACACGGGACACCAGCGGGACACCGGCGGGACACCGCGGGGCCCCGGCCGCCCGGAAGGGAGTCATTTGGTCCGGCCGCGCCTCAGCCACAGGAGACTTTCTCTCGCCCGCCCACGCAGATTTTCCTCGCCCGCACGGCACGCACGAACACGAAACCGAAATCGATTTCCCGGTAGGGGGGCTCTCCGTTCCACTTCGATCTCACCCCCCAACCTCCGATATATGTGTATAGATCGCGTTTTCTCTCTCTCTCTCTCTCTCTCTCTCTCTCTCTCTCTATATATATATATATCCCTATATGTGTATATGCAAAATGATATATGTATATATATATATACACATGAATATATGTGTATACCTATACATACAAGACTGCGTTGGCGCTTCGCGCCACGCACCTTGGTCCTTGAAAGTTGGCATGCAGGCGGAAGTCGCGACGGAAGGGCAGGAAGGTAAAGCATACACCATGGCGATAATTCCTCGTTATCTTGTCCGACATCGTCCTCATAATAATGCCATTCGCTGTCCTTCCCCAATGTGTCCTCTTCCCCTTCTTCGTTCTGAGTTCCACGAAGGAAGTGGTGACCGCCCCTAGTGGTGATCTCCCTTGGCACAGCCCGATCCTTCTACTCCCTCCTCCTCCTCCTCATCCTCCTCGAGGCCTCCCCTTATCCGCGGCGCAAGCCCAACCACCTCCTCATCCTCATCCTCCTCCTCATCATCAGTATCAGTATCATCATCATCATCATCATCATCTCCACCACCACCACCACCACCATCACCACCACCACCACCACCATCATCATCATCATCATCAGCATCATCATCATCATCATCATTACCAGCAGCAGCATCATCATCAGCAGCAGCATCATCATCATCATCATCATCATCCCCCCGGGCTTCGTTTTCCAGCCAGACGGCGTAGCACGAGTCGACGACCTTTGCGAAACGGAGCGGGCGAGGCCAGACCGTTCGGGAGCCGAGCACGCACACCTCCCCTTCAAAAGCAACTAACGAGGAAGAAACCATACATTGAAAGAAAAACAGGGCGGCGGTTGGGGTAGATGGGGGTGAAGCTAGAGCCAAGATAGGACGGAAGACGCAAGGATGCTGCCACGGCTGTCCCACTCCGCTCTCAAGGATTTCCGCGCAAGTACAAGGCATCCCCCCGGGCTTCGTTTTCCAGCCAGACGGCGTAGCACGAGTCGACGACCTTTGCGAAACGGAGCGGGCGAGGCCAGACCATTCGGGAGCCGATCACGCACACCTCCCAAACCTGGCGGACCTCCAGGACCACCCGATCAGCAATCTGGCCCCGACGGGGCCGCAAACACCTTCTTGTTGAACAACTCGGCTCTAGACGAGGCCCACGCATTGTAGTAGATAGAAGCCAAGGCTTTACAAAGACCAGGAGGATAAGGCTCGGCGATCTTGGACCAGAATACACCCTTGTCGTTTTTCCCTTGGATGGGGATGCGCGGCTGGCCGGAGCGCTTGCACAGGCCACGCTTGGCGCCGAGACAGCGAGCCTCGGCGAGGGCGTCCATGCACAGCCCCGTGCTGAGGAAACCGGTCGACTTCCTCCACTGGGCGCCCCACATGCAGAAATCGGTGACAGTGAAATTGATCTTGTTGGATTTTTGAAGTCTCTGCATGGCGGGGCAAATCCAGATGCGGCTCCGGGCGGGGTTCTCGAGAGTAGCTGGCATTCCCAAAATCATAGCATCCCGCATCACCGCCACGGAGAAAAACATTAACAAGTTGCCGACGCGAACCTGGTCTGCGTCGGCGGGGTTCAGGTCGTCGAGGCCCATGGGAGACGAGTTTGACCTCAACGGTGGAGGGCCTGGGGGCACATCGCGTGCCCGCGAAAACGAGGAGCATGGCGTTCCCAAGTGGACGCCGATCACGATGCCTGAGCGGATCCATCCTCTGATGAGGCTGCGCCTCCGGGCCAGACGAAGATCGTAATCGGCACCCAACTCCACGTCCCAGAGAAGAACGTTCACGCCCTCCCTCGCGACTGCTTGGCCGAGCCGGCCTGGCCCCGAGAAGACCTCGAGGAAGAAGCGGACCTGAGGGCGGGGGCCGCCGGACAAGGCCGGCCGCGGACGATGGAGGCCATCGAGCGCTCGCAGGACAGCGCGTGGGCGCGAAGGTCCTCGGGCAGCTGGAGCAGCACCTGGCCGATGCGGCTGCCCTTCTCGTAGCGCCTGACCGAAGCCCACGACCGCCAGCGCCCGCGGCGCCTCACGTCCCCCAGACTCCTGAAGCCCCCGGCGGAGTCGTGCGAGGCGCCGCCGTGCCTGAGCTGGTACAGGTGGACGTCGCCGAGGTGCTCGTCCAGCTTGAGGCTCCGCACGACGCCGCGCACCGCCGTCACCAGGTCCTTCAGGGCGAAGTCGAAGATCGGCGAGCGCGGGCTCCGGCCCTGACAGAGGGCCTTGAGCGCCGGACCGAGAGGGGCGTGCCGCTCCAGATCCAGGCGCATGGACTCGTCGAACTCGTTCGTCTTTGACGACCTCCCGACCTCCTGCGCGTGAAGCGTGATGGCCCAGCAGGGGGCGCTTGCCACGCCCGGCACTGGGGGTATGAGGTCCACACCCCTCACGTTGAAGATCTCGCCTGGCCGAAGGTACAGCTCGAAGATCACGACGTTCGCGATCGCGCAGGGCAGCTTCCCCAACCTGACCAGCTCGTTGGCGATCAGGGCCACCACCTCGCGCGGCAGCGGAAGCCGCGACTGGGGAGGGCAGCAGCGCCTGAACCCCTGGAGGGCCCTCCGGCTCCTGGGCATGAGGGCCCCCGCGGACTTCTGGAGGCCCGTGAAGAACGTCACCGCCGCGAAGCCCCGCTGGGCCGAGCCCAGGTTCTCGCCGCCCAGGTACAGCGCGCCCAGCCACCCCACGAGCTGCTGGTCGACGCCCGCCTCGGAGGTCGCCACCGGGGCGGCGAGCCGCGCCAGGAACTCGGCGAACAGCGACTGGTACTTCTGCCGCGTCCGAGGCCGAACCGAGGCGCTCTCCGGCACCGTGAGACCCCCCACTGTGACGGCAGAGGCCCTCCGCCGGGCCGCGACGTCGGCCACCGTCTGGCGCTTCCTCTTGGCTGGAGGAGGGCGGGCAACGGCTGGCTGTCGGCGCGGCGGGCCGGGGGCCCGCGCAGACGTAGAGAGGTTCGCCGTCATGGCACCACGGGTGGCCCCCCGCCTGACCAGCGGCGAAGCCAGCGGGGCCGCAGGCGCCGCCGGCGGCGCCATCCGTGCGCCGGTCGAGGTCGGTGCGGGTCTGGCCCGCGGGAGCATGTCTGGAGAAATCGAGCGGGCTCGGAGCAGCTGGAGCCCAGAGGCCTCGGGAAGGAGAGTCCGCGACGTTCCACTCCGAGGGCAACCAACGATAATGCAAGGCCGAACCGGTCGCGAGCGAGAGGGCCGCGATCGCCTGGGTGACCCGCATCATGCTACGGCTGTCGCTCCGAAACCGCGCCACTGCCCCGGCCGTCGACTGCGAGTCCCCCAGGACCAGCACGTGCTTCCCAAGGTTCCGAGACGAACGATGGAGATGACGAAACCCGTACAGAGTGGCCCTAGCCTCGTACACGGCGATACTCTCCCCCTTGCGCCTCCACGGGAAGCGACCGACGACGGCCCACTGCAGCTCGATCATCTCCCGCGGGACCTCTGGGAAGTCCACGACCCGCTTGGCCCGACCGAACCCGAAGACGTCACCGGGGCTGTCCAGGACACCTGAGCCAGCCGAGGGGGGCTGGGGGGGAGCGCACTCGGGCCCCGGGACGTCGTTGGCGGCGGCGATCCAGGGGGCAGCCTCGCGGGCCTCCCCCGCCAGGGCCGCCGCCGCCTCGGCTTTACGAGCGTGGTCCAGCGCGTGGCGACGAGGTCCCATGGCAGCGCCGACCCGACCCCAGCGCCAGCGCTCTGCGGTCCGGCCGACGCTCCGGGCAAGAGAGGCCCCACATTGTGCGGCGCACGCCCCCAGCCCCCACTCACTAGCATCGACGGCCACCACCTCGTCGCTCCAGCCCGCCCGTAGGTCCCGCCAGAGGAGAGGGGCAAGGCCATCCCAGGGAGAGAGCTCGCGACGTACCGAAGCCCACAGACGCTCATCCTGGGTGTAATTCTTCCTGACGAAGGCATAGCACGACCAGAACAGCGATAACCCCTCCCGGCGGACCGGGGAGAGGAAGACAAGATGCCCCAGGAGGCGCTCCAGGTCACGCCCAGAGCACCTCCCCCTTCGGAGGACCGCCCGAATGGCCAGGCGGGCCCTCCAGAGGCGGACAGGGGTGGCGGCCGCGCGGCCCCGGGGCCCGTCGATCCGCCACCCCAAAACCTGGGCCACCTTGTCCCCCCCAGAATACTCCTCCTCATGAACGACGAGACCCCGCCCTTCAAGAGCACGAATAGCACCAGCAACGAGAGAGCGAACAGCACTGGCGTCAGTAGAGACGGCGATGAAGTTGTCCACATACTGCGAATGGCACGCACGATGAAGGTCCGGCGTCACCTGCTTATCTACAATGCGGTTCTCTGGGGAAGCCCCGGCTTGTTCCACAATGCGTTCATGGACCGTTTGACACATCCACAGGGCCCAGCTCCAGCCCATCGGCATCACAGACAGTCGGGGATAGACCATGGCTGACGGAGGAACGACTTTCCCATCGACACTAGTACACCCCACCGCCCCCGCCCGCGCGGCCCTGAAACAGAAAAACGGTCTCAAATCGGGAGGCAACTGCATATGATAAGAGGCGTCAGACAAATCGGCCCCGCCGACATGCAGCTCCTCACCCTCGCCGAGCTCCAGCCCTGCCAGGCCTTCGCCGGCGAGGAGGGAAACGGGGGCGGGGTCCTGAAAATGACAGTTGCTTCTGCGACAGTCGACTACCAGCCGGAGCTTCCCGGATTTCTTGTGCACGAAAAAAAGCTTCAACCCTTTCCTTGTATGAGAAGCTGAAATCTACCATGCCTCGCTGCTGCAATGCACGGATGAACTCCTCAAAAGCCGCGACCCGACGCAGCTTCGGATCACTATGCGGCACCGCGACCTGAGAATTCTTCAAACGAGTATCTACCTCACTAGACGGTAGCAATCGGCTTTGGACGAAGTCCCTAATCATGTCCGACCCGCCCGCGCCCCACAGATCCTCGAGCGGTGCCGGTGCCGGCGAGCCAGAGGGGAGCGAGACGCTAGCGAGGTTATAGGAACCGAGCACGGCAGAGTCCACATCATACCAGCTCGCCACGCGAAGCTTCCGGAGAGCTTCTGCGGGAGTCACCTCCGGCGGAGGCGGGCCGAGAGCGGCGACGGCGTCCCGAATCCTATCAAGACAGTGACGCTGCTGGCCCAGCGAAACAAAAACTGCACGGTCGGCGCCCTGGCCGACGGGAGGCTGGCCCTGGCGAAGATAAAGCGAGTTCAAGGCGTGGGCGGCACGATCACAGTCCAACTCAAAACTCTCGCGCTTACCCGGACGCTGTCGGACGGCACGGGGGAGCCCCCCGTCGGCGCCCCGATACCGCTCCACCGCCGGCCGCGGTAAAGGCAAGATGTCGCGGGGCACCGCACGGGAGGGCTCGTCCCCGTAATTAAAAGCTTCGTAGGGCGGCGGCACACGGGGCCCACGCGCATCCCGGGCGACGGGAGCGCGAGGCGCAGAAGTATGCATGAGGGGGAGAAGCCCGGAGGACAGGAGGAGAGGGGCGATCAGAGAACAAGAGGCCTGCACTGCACCCTCAGAGCAGCGCGAGCCAACCTCAGACGTAGATGTCGGCGGAGGCTCACGACTTGTCGCCCCCGCCCTTCTTGCGGGCGGCATCTCGCTCCTCGCGCCCCTTGCGCAGGGCCTTGTTGAGCTGCGCCTCCCGATCAACGTCGACACGAACCACATCGAGGAGCTCCGGACAAATCATGAGCTGCCCCGAGCCACGGCTGAGCCCCGAGAACGCCTGCTGCTCCTCAAGGCTGAGGCGGCCACTGTACCCTTTTGACTCGGCCTCCTTCGCCCGCTCGAGGTGGGCGAATTCAATAGTTTGCATCCTCCTCAGCAGCATCTCCACCATGACGAGGTTCGTGCCGTCGAGCTGGTCGACGAGGAGGCCGGCCTTCACCGCCGCCGTGAGGTGGAGGTGCTCGGCCACCCCCCAGGCGTTGGGCTCCAGGCGGCACAGCGATCGAAATCGGTCGTGGTGAGCGTCCAAGCTGCCGCCCTCCGAGTTGATGTGCTCCAGGCACCAGCCCGCCGTCCGGACGCCACCGAGCGTCCAGTCCTTGCCGAAATCCTCCTTTGTCACCGCGGCACACATGTCCGCCCACGTGCGCTCCCGCCGCCCAAGCCTGTTGCGGCGCACCGGGAGGATGCGGGCGTCGCTGGCCACGATGCGGTCGAAGAACTCCTGCTCATCGCCCGGCCGCAAGTACTGCACGAAGAGGCCCGAGCCGTCCGCCAGTCGGTGGATGTCCTTGTCCCCGATGGCGCCCGCTCCGGCCTGGTGGGCCACGTCGTCCCCCACGCGGAAGCCGCCGAAGCACTCGGCGGCGACCCAGCGAGCAGCACCACGTCCGTCCGCCGCGCCAACAGCCACGACCCCCTGCAAGGGCCCGACCAACGGCGGCACACGCGCGGGCGCCGCGGCTCCGAGAGCAGCGGGCGCGCCCGCAGCGGCCACCCCTGCGTCGGCCGCGGGTCCGCCCACCGGGACCGGCAGCAGGCAGTGGGCGTCCACCGCCGGGGCCGCCACGCCCCATGGGCCGCGGCCAGCCCGGCGCACTCGCCTGCCGCCTCGGGCACCGCCGCGGCGAGGAAGGCGGCCCGCTGCGCCACCGTCGGCTCCGCCCAGAAGCGGTAGACGTCCCCGGGGGGGATGCCGTCCGGCAGCACGTTGAAGGCCGCCGCCCACCTCACGGCCGCGACGTCGGCTGACCCTGCACTGTAGTCCTCCGCGTACACGTGCCGGTCGGGGGTGGCGATCACGAAGAGGCTACCAGCCGATAGCGCCACCTGCCCCAGCACCAGCCTCTGGTGCCAAACCTGCCAGGGGCCGGCCCCGAAGTACAGCACGTATGCCCACGTCGCCATCGCTCACGGGGGCAGGCCCTGGCTCCGAAAAGTCCTGGATCGCGGCCCGCCTGTGCCTGCCGCAGCACCGAGCCGCGCGCCGAGCGCTCAGCAGCGCCGCGGCCGCCGCGAGGCCGCAGGCCACGCCGCACACGAACCAGAGCAGCCCCCAGCCGCGGCCGGCGCACGGGGCTGCCTCCGGGGCCTGCGGGCAGGCCGGGCACGCCGCTGGCCCAGCCGCCGGCGCGAGGCCCGGGCAGGTCGGGCAGGCCGGGCACGAGAGGCCCGGGCACGCGGGCGCCTGGCAGGCGCCGCAAGCCTGGCAGGTGAGCGCCGGGCAGCCTGGGCACGGCGGCGCCGCTGGGCACCGCGCGATGTAGTTCACCAAGCCCTGCGCGGCGTACTCTCCCCCGCGCTGCACCACCCAGTCGAGCATGGGGGGTCCGCCGCGGGAGCCGCGCCTTTGAAGCTAGAGCCAAGATAGGACGGAAGACGCAAGGATGCTGCCACGGCTGTCCCACTCCGCTCTCAAGGATTTCCGTACAAGTACAAGGCATCATCATCATCATCATCATCATCATCATCATCATCATCATCATCATCATCATCATCATCATCATCATCATCATCATCATCATCATCATCATCATCCCCATCCTCCTCCTCCTAGCCTGGAGGGAACATTGCGAAACTGGGATTCGGACATATTGAATGGAAATGCTGGAAGAGGGCGCCAATGCGGGGTCGTACGTCAATGGCCTCTTCGATGTGTTTGGGTCTGTGGGGAGGCGTCTCGGGGTCGTCGCGGAAACAACGTTGCTGGTTTTGAAGATAACTTGGAGCCCCCTTTGGTTTATCTTCGGTCTTATTGGGGACCTCGTGAACCCTGGTTGGGGCGTTTTGGCGCCTGTTGGCAGTTTCGTGGGTCCTTAGGGCCAGAGGGCTCGCGCCTGGTGGCGGTCTGAAGGTCCGTCTTGGGGCATTCTTCGGGGATCGGGGGGGCATCTTCGCCCGTCTTGGAGCCTTCTCGGGCCGTCATGGGACGTCCTGGGGCGATGTTGGGGGCCTTTGAGCCTTCGTGGGGCGTCTGTAGCACGAAAAACCCAAATGCCAACATGATGCAACAGCCTATAGGAAACGCACTGGTGTTGGATTTGGAGGCCCATTTGGGGGTTCCTCTTGGAGCTTTTTGGGGCGTTTGGAGGGTCTCTTGGGCCATCAGGAGGCAATGTTGGACCCCCTTGGGGCTACCGCCTGCTCGTTTGCACGACTTGGCAGGGACTCCCAGAAGCCCAGAGGTCTCATGGGACCCTCGACAAGGGCGTCCAGGAGCCCCAGAAGCCAGGGATTCCGGAAGGTCTGGCCCGGGAAAGGGTGGGGGGTCCCACCCCCCGTTAAAAAAACCAAAGAAGGGAACATGTATTGATGTTCTGATTGTCGCCGCACAAATGCAGGATCCCGAAACGGCATCTTTGGAGCCTACACCGCTTGAGGCCGTGTTCAAGCCGTCTTGGTCCCTTTGGGCGACCCTGGGTGCCTTTTGGGGCTCTCCTGGGGCGGTCGGGGGACCCTGTTTAGCCGTCTTGGGGCCCGCCGTCCTGGGCTCGTCTTGGGGCCCTCTTGGGCGCATATTGGGCCATCTTGGAGCGATCTCGGGGCCCCTTCGGCCGTTTCGAGCGCTCTGGAGACTGAGGAGCCGAGTACACGAAAATGGCACCGAAACCAAAGGACAACCTATACATTTTGCCTCCGGGGGGCCTCTTGGGAGTCGTCTCTGGGGGGCCCCCGTAGGCCATCTGGAAGCCTGTTGGGCCGTCGAGTGGCCATCTTGGGCCCTTCTTGGGCCATCTTGGGCCCATCGTGGCCGTCTTGGGGCGCTCGTCGGGCCCTCCTGAATCCCACCCGCCCTCTGGGCGTAGGTAGTCTAGGGAGCTTCCTCTTCCCCCCCCCCCTTTGCCCTTTGGGGGCGGGGTTTACCCCTCCCCCCCAACCCTCCCCCTGGACCTGGACGGGGGGGAGGCGGCGGGTAGTTGGAGCGTCCAAGATGGCACAAGACGGCTCCAAGAGGGCCTCGGAAGCCCAATATGACCTCCAAGATGGCTCAAGATAGCGCAAGATGCCTCAAAATGGCTTTCAGGATGCTTCAACAAAAAAAGCAAGGACGCTCCAAGACGGCTCCCAGAGGCCTCCGACACCTCTAAGAAGTTACTCAAGAGGCCAAACTCCTTCAAACACCTGGGGAAAATCAATGATGTGTGCGTTCTCGCCTTGTCGCTTCCGATGTCCATCCGAAGCCCAAGTTGACCCCAACAGCGCCCAAGAGCGCCCCAAGAGCATTCCAAGAGGGGTCCAAGAGGCGATGTTTTCAGTTCCCGAAGGTGGGGGTAGGGGGGGGGCTAATTGAAGCTCTCCTCTTTTTTGATCGATGTCATCCTAGATGGCCTACAGAACGTTGCTGAAACTCCCAGAAGCGCCCCAAGAGGGCCCAAGATGCGCCCAGGCGGCCCCAAGAGGCCTCCAAGAGGCTCCAAACATACCCCAGACGAGGCCGCATGAGGATCCCCGAAGTACCCAAGTCTCCCTCCTTCTCCTCCTTCTCGTCCTCCTCGTCCTCGCCCTGCTCCATCTCCTCCTCCTCCTCCTCCTCTTCCTCCTCGTCCTCCTCCTCCTCCTCCTCCTCCTCCTCCTCCTCCGACGACGACGACGACGACGGTGATTCCTCTTCCATCCTCCCCCTCTTGGGGTACATGACGGGTTCCCCCGCCCTTTGTTCTTCTGCATGCTCCCCCACGTCACTGATCACCTCACCTCTCCTGGGCGTCGTTTCTGGATGGGCTGGCGGGGATACTTTTTGGTACGCGGCCTTGCGAAGCAAGTCGACAGCCGGGCAAAGCTAGGGCGGGCCGCGCCGAAGCAACGGAAAAAACAGTGAGGAGAGCAGCGCCCGGCTCAGAAGCGTGCTCAGCGTAGCCAAGATGGCGCGGGAACGAGCAAACCAGCAACGAGATTACGTCCACTAGAATGCAATTTGGACGCAGATGCAGGCGCAGCGCGGGAGAGCGACCCCGCACAAGGGAGGTCGGAACATGGCCCCAGGACGCACATGCCGAAGAGGGTGCCCGAGGCAGCCACGAATGCCCTGCACACGACGGCGACCAAAAGGCGGGAGAACCTGGCATCCATAAACCTGCACCCCAGGTAAGTTGCCGAACACGAAACCCTTGAACCAGAAGGCCTTCACGACGAAGAACGAGCAAAGGACCCAGGAGGAGCAGCGTGGACGACCCCGAGAGACTGGCGTGGCCAACGCGGGAGAAGCGTCAAGCAAGCGCCAAGGAGGTAAACGGCCTCCAGGTCTCCAGGTTGCAGGACGCGTAGTCGGGCAGCGACGGCGCGGAGGGGAGCTGCACGGCGAGGAAGAAGCGGAAGTCGGTCGGGCTGCAGCCGCTCCGCGCCCTCCAACGAGCAGGTCGGAGGCCCCCCAGGCAGGGGCAAACACAGACTCGGAGAGAGAAGCCACGAGCAGCGCGACCAGGCATCAGGGCGCCCCGCGCGCCGGCACGGCGACGCCGTGAAAGAAGGCGTCCCGAAACGACCGCGAGCACGCGGCGCCAGGAAGACGAGTACAGCGCCGCCGCAGCGGGTATCCCGCGTGAGGGTGCAGCGGACGGCCCGCAGCCCAGCAGCCAGCAGCCCGCAAAGAGAAGCCCGTGCCGAAGTCCAGAGCCGAGTCCACCGCCGAACCCGAGCTTCACCGGGGAAACCATGCCGACGAACGCCTTCAGCGAGTGAGCTGGTGGGGGTATGCGAAGCGTCAACAATTCTCCTGGGACCCTTCGGGGCCGTCTTGGGGCCATCTGAGGGCGTCTTGGGCCCTCCTGAGGCGTTCCAGACTCAGCCTCCACGGTCGGGCCCGAGAGTGTCCCGGATCAGTTCTGCATGAATAAGGGAAAAGAGAGAGAGAGAGAGAGACAGAGTGAGAGAGAGAGAGAGTCAGAGAGAGAGCGAGAGACCGAGAGCGAGAGACAGAGAGCGAGCGAGCGAGCGAGCGATCGAGAGAGAGAGAGAGAGACAGAGAGCAAGAGAGAGAGAGAGAGATGCGATCACACAGGCATCACTGGTCAGATCATCAACCTCGGTACGCTCAATTTTCTAGGTTGCGCGCGATGTGTGCTCATTGTGTCGACCCTAATTCCACCGCTGAACTGGAAGGCGGGAAAGAACGGTCGGGAGAAACGCACGTCCAAACCGACCTGGATATGATCTATCACAGCTTGCCCTCAGAACGTGGTGTGAACAAATACACCCTGAGGTGTTCTCGGTTTCGAGTACACTCGCACATGACAACTGCGGCTCGCCCTTTCATGCGTCTCGCGGACGCCGCTTCATCCTGGTACCGCCCTGGACCTCCAACACATTGCAGCCACGGCGCAGGGTGTGCTAGATGTCCTGGCGCTATGTTCGCCTCCCCCAGAGCTGTGTTTTTGCTGATTTGATCTCGATCGTCTGCTGACTGTTACGGTCAGCAGCTTTTGCTTAGAGCGTCGCGGCAGCGGCCCCTGCGGCACGCTAATCATGAGTTGCACGCTGTCAGCGTGTCGCTCTGCCTCGTGGGGCGGCAAGCAGAGCTCGGAATGCTGAAGCCTGGGGACCGCGACGTGCTCAGCGTGCCGCGCCGAAGCGTGCTGGGCCAGAACTGGCGGCGCGACACGCTGAGCAAATGCTCCCCTATCGAGCTGCACGAGAGCCTGCCAGCTGCCATAAACCCCGCAGAATTCTCAAACAGCCTGGTCCCTCGAACCACGAGCGAGGAAGGGAAAAGCGTGACATCGGAGGCCGTGCCAAGATGCCCGACTCCACGACCGCACAGGGACGCGGCCCCAGCGCCACGACCCCGTCGCAAGCATCGGGAGCAAATCATGGGCCTTGTGTCTTCTGACCCTGGCTTGAGAGTGCACCAGCGGCTAGCGTCGACCAGAGTCTGGTAATCGATGATCTAGCGCCGATCTAGTGTCGATGAG